GGGGGTAAATGGAATATATTCGTGGCTATCTGTGACACAAATATTCTATAGTAACGGTCAACCAAAAAATGATTGTATCAGTAAACATTCTAACAATGACCTCAACGTAATCACTAACAACTCTTAGTTAAGTATCTTCTTGCATGGTAAGTAGCAATCCTCTATGAAGGAAATACTAATTGATATGAAACGCGAGCTATAAATATATACGTGCTATATGCAAATGCTGCTTGAATTTTGTAACTTAAAGTGGAGAGTCCACACTAGGAAAATTGAAGTCACGTCTTTTGTCATAAAGTTGAGCTCTCAACTCTAACTGCCAATTCTAGCTGTAATTCAAGATCTCACTGGATCTAATATATCCTTTATTTCAAATTGAAATGAAAACATGGGATCATAATTATGCAAAGTCACCATACTTTTTATTTTTTAAGAGAGGATATCATTTATAGAACTGAACGTTAGATTAAAGGATAGAGGAGGCTCTTATCATTATTATAAAGAAGCCCATGTATGAGGTTTGCTTTATATGAACCAAGGAACAAGCAGACGGAAAAAAACACAGTAAATCCCCATATAGCCGTGTTGTACGGAAAGTTTCTCAAACAATGAAGATTGGTATATGTAAAAAATGCATCATTTGTGGTGCACAACTTCAATAGGAATGCAAACGTTCTGTGAAGTTTCAAAGATCTAGTGGAGTTGCTTATACATGAAAGGGTCTTTCAGAGGACTATTTTCTCAATTATTGATTACATAAAGTAGGTACCCACCCACATGAACAAACATGATGTCTACAGAAAAATCTAGCATTTCGATTGGATCAGTTCCATTGATATGAATTTTCGAGGAACATTTTGCAGTAATAACATTCATTTCAATTGAAATTAAATATCAACTTTCGCTTAGAGTGAACTATTGAATTTAACTGTGTATTTATACATTTTGTACAACAAAGCGAATACTCCTCATATAGATTGGCTCTGCCGGTTGTAGTTTGTGTAAACTGCTTGACATGGACATCTGACTGAGAAAATACGCATTTCACACCGTCAAATAGACGCTCTTCAGCAAGAGAGCTATATTTGGGTGCAGAGTGTCCATGATCTGCTAATTCATGCCACACAGTTAGCCGGACTCCTTTCAGTAAGAGTTGAAGTAACAGTTCACTTACTCGTACAAAAAGCAAACCAGTAATAAACAATATCTAAAAGTACATACCGACAACTAAAAACAAAACAAAACAACTATTTCAAACGTAATGTACATAGGAACAAATTTGTCGGTTTTGCTGGAAAACGAATGGCTTGGCTTAAACTTGAAGAGATATAGTTTAGATTGTACAGGTTGTTTTCACATTTGTAAATCTAGTCTTTCATACATAATCATTCTTTGCGTTTATTTATAAGTGTAGTTTGTTTAAGGTTTTGAATCAGAATGCCAAATTCTCACAACAGTAGAGTTTTATATGGAATTTTGTGGCGTCACAAATATTTATTCTGAGTAATTTGCAAAATCGTAACAAATTGTATATGACTGCTGTGCAGTCTGCACATTTCACACTCCAGACCCTTACGTATTCTGTGTAAATAAATACTAATAATTAACAAATTCAGACTTCTTTCCAATTTGATTCCAACATTATTTTCATTGTTGTCGGCATTTGTCCAGTCCCATTTTAGGCTGTTGAGATCATTCAAACGCGCGTTATACCGATTGATTTGTAAAAAGTAATGACCTTTTTCTACTTTTTCAAGCACACTCAGTGTTACCTTTAACCAGTTCCCTTCAATTACTAGATTATTTGTGTAGATATATAGAGTATACAGTTGTTGCATACGTTATCTTTAAATAAGTTAAGTAATACATGTACTTGACCTCTCATCAGTGTTCTCAAATAATTCAACATTTTTGTGTTTATATTTTGTATCATTACTTTTTTTCATGAAAATTGATTGTTTCAATTATTTTTCTGCATATGTAGCTACCTCGGCCAAGGTAAAATATTTCGCACCCCTCATTTTAATGAAGATTATGTTTGGGGGTTTAATACAGTAAGAAAATTTGTTTTGAATGGAAACTGTTAAGGCCAAAATATTGTCTTACTGGTCATTTTTGCTTAAACAAGTTTCTGTCTATTCATTACAGTTTCAAGATGATAAGCAAAAAGGAAAAAAAAGTGGGCAACATGATTCAGGGATACTTTTCCTTTAAGAAGTCAGTTGAAGATTTCGGTATTTTAACTTATTTGAAGATCTTATGTTACTGATCATTTTTGCTGTTCAAAGTTTCAGTTTATCTAATATATATTATAGTTTTTAAGATATTAGGTAAAAACACTAAAATATGTTTAAAAAACGGCTCGAGTCAACAGACAAGTTTAGCCACGTTGAATCTATTTTTAGATCTAACTTTTGTTATTACAGTTTTTGTCTATCTATTATATATAGTTTCTGCAAATAACACAAAAAGTACATGTGTGTCATTTTAAACCCTTAAAGAGGTCGACAGACAATTTCTGCCATATTTTCTTATTTGTTTATTATTTTGCTTACCATTTTTGTTTCTATTTGCAGTTTTTCTCTACCGATTTGTATGGGTAAAAATCATCATTCAAGGGCAAAAACTCCTACAAATCTTGCCCTGCTGTTCATTTTTGCAATTAACCGTTTCTTTCTATCAACTATGGTTTCTGCAAAAACACAAAAATGGTTTAAAAAAAGTCATTTCCATGCTAGAGTTTTCAATATAATATCCAAAATAGCAAAACATTAGTAAAAATTTATACCAAAAAAAAAAAAATGGTAGCTAATAGAAAAATACGTGAAAATAAAAAAAAAGGCTAGTGTTGGTATTGAATGAGACTAGCAAAAACGTACACCAATTTTGAAGCGCCAAACATTTTGTTTAAAGATGTGCACCTCTGATGAGCCAAAAATTTGGAATTAAACTTTTTTCTTAACCTGAATTTTGGGTTTATATGACTTTTTTTTGCTACAGCCATTTGAAAGTATCCCATTTTTAATGATTTTCCCATTTTTCATCTATTTTTACCCATTTTTGGTCTATTATCATGAAAAAAATCACAGTTCCACAATTTTTTCATACTTTCACTAAAGATGAAGTGGACCAATCAGAATAAATTTAACTTAAAAAACTATAGGTTGGTGTTAATATTGGAAAGTTTTGTAAAATTTTGTTGCTTTTTCGTTTCAAATTGAGAATGATGTAAATTTAGAAAATATGAGATTTTTCTCTTCTTTTTTTTTAGAACAAAATGCATATTATTTCAACTTCTTTGTTATAAATGATTGAAAATTACATATCTCAGAATTTTGAAAAGAAAAAAATTGACATGGGATGTACATATTTTTGGTAAAATCATTTCTTTGTACTATTAGGGGACGACCATTTGATATTCTGGGGGGGGCCAGGAGGATTTGTTTTTGATCGGTTATTTATTTTTGTAAACTAAGAGGACAGATTATCTATTTTCTGCACTGTTGAAGCAAGATTTTTCATTTTCATTAAAGCAAGGGACTGATTATTTATTTTCACAACTATATTTATAATTTTTGAAAACATACAATTTTTAAATTCATTTTTTATTATAAATAATACATGAATAGTCCAATCATTATGTACCATTTAATCAGAATTAATCATCATCATCTGTAGAAATGAATCTTCTGAATTCCCAACTGCATAAACATGTATTGCATACATACAAGATATTAAAGTTTGGCTGTAATTAGTGTCTTTTAAAAGTATTGCAAATCAATTATGCCGAGCGGAGCGAGGCTAAAAAAAATTTGAAGGGTTTTGGAGCCGCTGAAGGCCCCAAGTTGCTATAGAACTAATGATGCAAAATGTGTTTCCCATACCCTTTCTTAATCTGAAAATGAAAGTTCTGTTTTAATCATTTTTTGACAATATTTTGGTCTCAAAGCAACATGTATAGATTCAGTGTAAGACTTAAGTTTTTAGGAACAACATCAAAAGACAAAGATAAAGCAAAATTTAATTCACATAGTTAAGTATGTGGCTGCTGTTTTTTTTTAAACTCTTGATCAAGTTTATAACAAAATTACTAAATTACAAAAGGAATGCAACACTAACAGAATACAGAAGGGCAATCAATGAACAAAAGACAAATAAATAAGAAACATTGATCCCCAAAAGACAGGAGCTACGTCTGAGGGAGAACAGAACTTGCTTCTTGCAAGACACTTGCCGTGAAAGCAATTTGATATGAAGACAAGCTTTTGGTTTTGAAATTTCCTACATGAGGCATTTGCCTGAATGTAGTTACTGCCATATGTAATAAAAGTGAGTTAAGTGTTCCTGAGACAATATACCTCAAGTTAAATGAAACCCATTTTTCAGACATTTCAAGTATTTTAAATAAAATTTATACTTTTATTATTCAAAGATTTGGGAAGTGATTCCCTTTTTTTTTTGAAAAAAAAATTGAATTTTATGAAGAATCTGGTGCAATCTCATGCTCTCAAATAGACCTGCCGAGTTATTTATTTTTAATACATTGCAAGTCAGGTTATTTATTTTCAAACTACCACAGAACAAACCATTTATTTTTGTGATTATCAAGGCTGAGTTATTTATTTTCAAAATCCTCCTGCCCCCCCCCCCCCCCCCAGAATATCAAATGGTCGTCCCCTTACCCATTTTCTCAACATTTTGGCTGATGAGTTTTAAAATGTGAAAATGTTATTACTCAAAAACTACTTATTGCAAGTACACAATTTTTTCACAGAGTTTAGTTTGATTGTAATATGTTTTAAAATCATTAACATTTTCCACTTGTATCACATGTTTGGGAAATAATTCCCGAACGAGATTTCAACGATATTGAAACATCAGAAGAATACATCCTTAAATACACTTAAAATTTTGAAATAACAATCGACCGCCACTGTTAATTTTAAACCACAGATATAACGATGAAAACGGCTAGGTTAAAATATAGCAACAAGCAAATGTTCTAAAAATAGCATTTACCTGTTAAAATATTTTACAATATTTGTGTAGATGTTTTGAGAGTTCTTGCTTTTGACTATCATGTTACGGTTTTTAAACCAGAAAAGTATTGCTGTGTTATGACCGAATAGCCTATTATATGTTCTAATTTCTAATACAACGAAGTCTTATTTTGTAAAACACAAATCATTACTGACACACATCATCATGGCCGATTATAAACTGTACTATTTTCCTATTCGTGGTAGAGCTGAACTGACTCGAATTATGTTTGTCGCTGCTGGAATTAAGTTTGACGACATACGTGTCCCAAGATCTGATTGGCCAGAGAAGAAAAAGAGTAAGTAGATTTGTATTTTGATTTACAATGTACAGATTCTGGGATATGGGACGGAATACAAAATGATGGAGAAAATATAAGAAGGGGAATCAAAAACCACAATTTGAAATCAGATACATTGTACATAAACCCGTGGCAAATTTTTAAAAAGACCAACACCTTCACAATCTACATATAAAACTAAATGCAATGCCACGTTAAAGAACCCTTGCACCATCTTGTTGAAGGGTTCGCCATAAAGAGGCGATCAATCAATAATTTTAACATTGTTAAACTCATTAAGTCAAAATTCTTTTTAAGGCTATAATTAATACGAGGCCATTTGAAATTGGAATGTTCAGTTGATTTCATCTCCTCGATTGCTACCATGTCTTGGTGGTATTTCGAACCATAAGCGGAAGAAGAGCTAGAGTCTAGAAATGTACAAGAAAATGTGAGAGGCTAGCAAATCTTTATTTCATCTAAAACCGTGTAACATGCATTCTCTTTTTATTCTTCAATATTGCCCTTGCTGAATTCTTTCACTGTTTATATTTTAAAGTTACTTCAACATAGATTTTACAATTTCTATAAAAAGCATTCAAAATATCAGTTGCTACAACAATTATGCGAAATATACACATGAACAAAATGTACCCTCTTTCACACTTAAGGTGAATTACTTACATCTGCCACCAACTGCTGTCGCCACTCTCCCTAGATATTAAATATTTTACGAAAATTACAGAAAAAATAATAAATATACACATTGTGTAAAATTCAAGCCATTACACCTTCGGAAAAAATAATGTGTAATCCTTTATTTTATATTGTGGTTGATATTCCCGACATTACCAAAACATGACTGATACTATCACAATATATAGGAACAATAAACGAGTCCTGTAAAGAACCGGCTGTTCCCGGACTTAAGGACACTGACGAGTCTTTTTCGAGTGACCATTCTTGGCATAAGCCACATCTAGTCAATATTTTATTGTTTAGTTTCCGCTTCTTTTTTTTCTTTCTGTATTTGATTTTGAAATATATTTATTATTCAGCCTTTCCTAATGGGAAGTTGCCAATGCTAGACTACAAAGGACAGTATCTTACACAAAGCCTGGCCATTGCACGGTTTATTGCAAAAACTTGTGGTAAGTTACACAGCATTTACCTTTTCTGAATTCGCAATAGTGAAGCAATGTTTAACCTCTCAAACTCGCATTTTAATTTAACTTCTTATCAGTAAAAGTAAGGAGCTTAGGTTATAAATGTTCGCATAAAACAACAACAATACCACAAAACTACCGGAAGTGAATCGTTACCGAACTAAATGTCACAAATAACCAAAGCGTACAAATTACGACCTTAGTTTGAAACTTGTCAGAAGGCGAAAAAAAGAAGAGAGAACTGACGAATACTTATTTTCAATCTGATTAAAATTCAGATCTATCTTAACTCACTTGCTCTCACATGAGCATACGAAATCAGAGATCTATATATCTTAACTAGATTGACAGGAAATAATCTATGCTTAAGAATGGCTCAAAACAGTAATTGAGATAATAACGGCAAATGTTTATTATTATCGGAATGCAAGTTATAACCTTTCGGAAGCAAATTAATTCACTGCAGATGTCTGTCCTTCGATGAAATGTTTTACGTAAACGTGTTAAGTTTGCAATAAAAAGCTTTAGTTACATTAAATTGTTTTAACTCTAAAATATTCCAATTCTACTACGTTTTATTATTTCTCCTTTTTATACGACCGCAAAAAAATTTTGCGGTCGTATATTGGTATGACGTTGGCGTCGTCGTCGTCAGAAGATACATTGGTTTTCGCACTATAACTTTAGTTTAAGTGTATGGATCTTTCTGAAATTGTACTACAAGGTTCCATATCACAAAGGGAAAGCTGGAATTGAGTTTGGGGGTAATTGTCCAAAACATTTAGGAATAAGGGGCTAAAAAGGGGCTAAAAATAAGCATTTTTCTAGTTTCCAGACAATAACTTGTGATCAAGTGTATGGATCTCTCTGAAATTGTACTGCAAGGTACCATACCACAAAGGGAAAGCTGGGATTCATTTTGGGGGTGATTGCCTCAATATATTAGGAATTAGGGGCCTAAAAGGGGCAAAAAACAAGCATTTTTCTAGTTTCAGGACAATAACTTGTGTGTAAGTGTATGGATCTTTATGAAATTGTACTACAAGGTTCCATATCACAAAGGAAAAGCTGGGTTTGAGTTTGGGGGTAATTGCCCTAAACGTTTAGGAATTTGGGCCAAAAAGGGGCCAAAAAAACAAGCATTTTTACAGTTTCCAGACAATAACTTGTTCTCAAGTGTATGGATCTCTTTGAATTTGTACTGCAGGGTACCATATCACAAAGGGAAGGCTGGGATTGAGTTTGGGGTGATGAATCATAAGGGGGTTCAAAAAATTGGGGGGGGGGTCCTTTTTTTTCCTTTTTTTTCTTTAAAATTTTCCGTTTTAAGTTGGTTATTTTTGATTTATACATAAAAGCAAATAATAATGATATGGTTCGATTTCATCAAAAATTGAAATATTGGGGTTCTTTGATATGGTGAATTTAACCGTGTATTTAGATTCTTAATTTTTGGTCCCGTTTTCAAATTGGTCTACATTGAGGTCCAAAGGGTCCAAAAAAAAACTTAGTTTGATTTTAACAAAAATTGAATTCTTGGGGTTCTTTGATATGCTGAATCTAACCGTGTATGTATTTAGATTTTGGATATTGGACCATAATAGGTAAATTAAATTTTTTCAAGTTCTTAGACCACACTCATTCTGTGTCAGAAACCTATGCTGTGTCAAATATTTAATCACAATCCAAATTCAGAGCTGTATCAAGCTTGAATGTTGTGTCCATACTTGCCCCAACTGTTCAGGGTTTGACCTCTGCGGTCGTATCAAACTGTGCCCAGTGGAGCATTTTGTTTGATACTGTGAGTGCAATAAATATAGTAGTAATCGAATGTGTCTCTTTAAAAGGCAGACTAAGAGTACATGCATAAGAAGTTTTTTAGGACCATACGTTTGGTAAATGGGATAGTATATTATTAATTAACTATAATAGTACTAAAAATTGTCACAGTGTGTTGGATTTGTTAGACCAGTTTCATTTGTACATGGCTCTGATATTTGATTTATAACTATATCCTTTTACTTTAGGATTAGCGGGTAAATCTGACTGGGATCAGGCCCAGGTGGACCAGATTGTTTATACCGTTAATGACTTGTCAGAAGAATATTACAGATATAATCTTGAGAAAGATTCTTCTAAAAAGGTAAGCTATACATTATATTCTTTTACACATCGCCCTTGTCTTTAGAAAAAAAAACACCAGGTACAAGGAAAGAGAATAAAGTGAAGTACATGTTTAGGATGAAGACCGTCAACTTTTCTGGCAATTGGTTCAGGTAGTCATTAAATTTCATTGCTCACAAGACTAATCGTTATGATGGATTAACATCAAATCTATATATCTTCATTCTACCTACCAAAAAAACGCAGTTGTCTGATTTCAGCATCATCGCTAGCCAAGGTACGACCCTTGGCTACCAAAGATGGAATTCAGCTGCTTTCAGTAATTGCAAGTACACTAAAATATGTAATTTTCGTCCTCTATATATTGTTTTAAAAGTTGTCAAATTCATTAGACGGCCATAGAAAAAAGAAGCATACGCAGGATTATAAAAAAGTAATTGGATACCATTAGAAAAGAAATTTTCTTATAAATTTATATATAATTGACCCCTTTCCTTGATTATTATAATTGTTCTACAAATCAAATGTTCACGAGCATTGAATTGTAATTCTGTATGAACTTACTAAATTTGTCAAAAAGGTGACTTATAGGTCCAATGGACCGGGTGCAACATTGACTATACAAACTTTGTAATTGTGTTATATTTATTGATACATGTTTACAATTATTGTGTTGTTCTTTAATCCAGGCGTTGGTTTTCTCGTTTGTTACACCACTGTTCCATTTTGGGACGGGATTTACTATAATAAACTAATTACTTACTTACTTACTATAATTGATAAGTTGGAACTAAATCGATTTTTTTTATTAAAGAGGAAAGAAAAAAGTAGAAGCAATCATCACGTTAAAAACAAAATAGAAAAGACAGAAAGTCAAACAACAATCCACCAAACATAACACAGAAGAACTTAAGATTGATCAACATTTATCTAACAAAAACACTCAACAAAACACAACACAGAAAAACTAAAGATTGATCAACATTTATCTAGCAAAAAACACTCAACAAAACACAACACAGAAAACTAAAGATTGTTCATCATTTTTTCAACAAAAACACTCAACAAAACACAAAACAGAAAACTAAAGATCATCCAACACTAAACGAACAAACAACACTCAACAAAGCACAACACAGAAAACTAAAGATTGATCAACATTTATCTAGCAAATAACACTCAACAAAACACAACACAGAAAACTTAAGATTGATCAACATTTATCTAGCAAAAAACACTCAACAAAACACAACACAGAAAACTAAAGATCAACAAACACTAACCCAACATACATCACTCAACAAAGCACAACACAGAAAACTAAAGATTGATCAACATTCATCTAGCAATTTACAATCCACAGACCACAGCATAGAAAACAAACTAAAGATCAACCAACGCTAACCCAACAAACAACACTCAACAAAACACAACACAGAAAACAAACTAAAGATCAACAAACACTAACCCAACACAGAAAACTAAAGATCATCCAACACTAAACGAACAAACAACAATCCACAAAACACAACACAGAAAACTAAAGATCAACCACACAACAATCCGCAAAACACAACACAGAAAAATAAAGATCAAACAACATTAATCGGAGAAACAAAATCCACCAAACACAACACAGAAAACAAACTAAAGATCAACAAACACTAACCCAACACACACCACTCAACAAAACACAACTCAGAAAAATAAAGATCAAACAAGACTAATCCGACAAACAACAATCCACAAAACAGAAAACTATAGATCAACCAACACTAACCCAACAAACAACAATCTACAAAACACAACACAGAAAACTAAAGATTGATCAACACTAACCCAACAAACAACAATCCCACAAATACAACACAGAAAACAAAAGATTGATCAACACTAACCAAACAAACAACAATCCCACAAATACAACACAGAAAACAAAAGATTGATCAACACTAACCAAACAAACAAAAATCCACAAACACAACACAGAAAACTAAAGATTGATCAACACTAACCCAATAAACAACAATCCCACAAATACAACACAGAAAACTAAAGATTGATCAACACTAACCCAACAAACAACAATCCACAAACACAACACAGAAAACTAAAGATTGATCAACACTAACCCAACAAACATCAATCCCAAAAATACAACACAGAAAACTAAAGATTGATCAACACTTACCCAACAAATAACGAGATGACATCCAACGTTTTTGATTAGATACCTTTCTGATATTTTTTTTTGTCGTAAACGCAAATACATATGCATCTACTAGTTTATATGGATCGTATCTAAAATTAAGGGCTCGATAAACAACATTACTGTAAAATCCCGTTTGTATTTAGATTTCAGCCAAACTTCCAAACCATTGTTTTGTATCAAATACCGAATTTAGTACAGAATTTAAGTAATTTGTGGTAACTGAATCACCGACTTAATTTTTTACCAGTTATAATACATAGATTACGTTCACTGAAATGTTTTTAATTGTAGGAAGAAAAGATTCGGAAATTGTTGTATGAATATGTGCCTGATAAGTTTGCAACTTTTGAGGGATGGTTAAAACAGAATAAAGGTGGAGATGGCTTCTTCGTTGGTTCTACGGTAAGTAGTAATTGAAGTCAGAAGTAATTTTTCTCCTTTTTTCGATGGGATGTGTAACTTCTGTTTTCATATTTAGGATGAAAGGCTCTATTATCAACTATGAAACTTGCGTCTTAAAAAAGTTCAAATTATACTTTCCACAGATTAAATTGATTAATTGATTGATTGATTGATGTTTAACGCCACTTTCAACAATATTGTTCTATTTCATGGTTGTCAGTTTTTATTGGTGGATGAAGCCGGAGTGCCCGGAGATAACCCCCGACCATCGGTAGGAAAACTGACAATCCTAGTCAATTAAGATCAGAGTCGAGTGCACCTGCCCCGTGCGATATTCGAACTCACAACCTCAGTGCTGACAGGCTAGTGATACAGTAGTTCGACTACTTAGACCACTCGGCCACCGAGCCCACCGCCCCCTCTCCCACAGATTAAAGACTTATGATTGAACATGTAGATACAAAACTGATAACAAAGGATACATATACCTGTACGTGTTTCTGGGGGTAATATTTTATTTAAACAAATATAAAACCTTTATTTCAGCTAACAATGGCCGATGTAGCCGTATACGAAGGTTTGACCAGCGTTTTGCAAAAGGACACAAATTTATTGGACACGTTTCCCAAATTGTTAGCTCATCGACAGAGAATAGCAGGTTATCCTAGAATCAAAGAATACTTAGCGAAACGGGAATGCACCGAAGTTTAGAAATATGGACTTAAGTCTGTATTTGTGGCTCGTGCATATTACATATATACAGATACATTGGGTATATATTTATTGAAATGTAGTCTCATTCATATTTATAAAATACACTTTCTTTTATTTTCATTACATACTTATAATCATGTTATGACTGGTCGTCGAGGTTTATGAGCCTTCCCTCAACTTCTCTCAATGTATATTGTAACAATAAAATATGAACTTGTATCATTCTTAAGTCCTATAATGTCTTTCCATGCGATCAATGTATGTAGAATTTAGCATACATAAATAAGTTTTAAATCATTATATACAGGCAGAAGACAATCAAACAACATTTCAATATATATCTTGCAGGTGTATAATATTTACTGCATGGATCACACTGTGTTTTTCATAATTGGCGTTAAACTATGAACCTCAACATCATAGCATTGATTAAAATGATACTGTACAATTTTTTTCGAATCGAAAAAAAAACCAATTAAATTTTCTCAAATAAGAGCGCCTTGTCGCAAGTTTCCTTTTTTCATTTACACTTTTTTATGAGTTGATAGATAAACGAACATAAAAGGTTTTGAACCATTTTCCCGAATTCTTTCGTACACACGAATCAGCAGAAACTGTAAACTTTTTTAAAGTTGATTTGTTAACAAGCAAAGGTACAGATAGCTCTAAATGGAAGACATGTCAATTTTATTTCATGGGCGTTAAAAGACGAAAGTTTCAATAATGATGTGATGAGCTCAATCCATACATTTTATCCAGTGAATGATTTTGGAACATCATAGTCTAGTGTTTCCCCTCCGTCTTCTGTAAATGTTGTTGGTACATCATAGTCTGGTGCATCTTCATCTTCGTCATCAACACGTTCTAACGTCCTTTTCTTTATTGACTTTGGTGGCTGAGGCCTATCGTAAGTTTCAATAGTTTCTTCGACACCGTTCATATCATTATCTATTTGCATGTTTGCTTTCTCCTTTTTAGCAGTTTTGTTTTCCATTGGCGGCTTCATTTTTTCCTTCGGAGGATCAATTTTCTTGTCTTTTAGATTTTCATAATCTATATCTGTATCTGCGTCCGAATCAGTTCTCTTTTTAAGATGAGTTGCGTTTTCATATTCATGATTTTCAATGGACAGATATCCATCCGCTCTTGAAATTCGTACATTGATATCTTGCTTTTCTTTGATATCCTGAGAGTAAACAGGGTTTTCGAAAGAACGTCTTGTTCCCTCGGCAATCGTAGGAACAGCTTCTTCAATTTTTATTGGATTATCTTTCTTTTTTGGACAACATCTAAATTATAGAATAGAGATCAAGAATTATTTTAAATTGGTACTATAAATTAGATATAAAAAAATAAAAGTGAAGTCAAATACCCCGTTTGTTGATTAGTAGGACTAATCTTTAAAAAGGACATCATATTTGGTTGGTAAAGCTTGGAGATGGTCACTTTATACAGTATTATACCACATTATTTAAGATCCCCATCATCGTTCATGGATAAACACTTGTCCTATCTTTTGACAAATGGCTACAAACTCCCTTATATTTGTATTTATTTATTGCACCAATAGAACATCTTTAAAATTCAGTAGATTCATCTGTTGTTTGTTGACTTGGTTGGTAGATATAGTGTATATTCAAAGCTATGAAACTCATGACATGTGTGTAACTAAGTAACCAAAAGATTTAGATGTTCGTTATTCAAATGAGACGGACTTACGATATACGTGCTTTTTAAGGAGAATAACAAGCTAGAATTATCTTTTAACTTCACGTTACGCTATATGAATGATGTCCTCTCATTAATTAATTCAAAGTATGGTGAGTTTAGTGAACGCATCTATTCCACTGAACATGAAATAAAGGAAAACACAAATAAAGATAATAGGTCAGCTTCATATCTTGACTGACATATAGAAATTCACTGAGAGCTAAGTCTTAAGACAAAAGAGACAACATTCAATTTTTATAGTGAACTTTCCATTTTTATGTAGCAGCATTCTAGCCAGTATCACCTACATAAAGAGATATATCTCACAATTGATGATTTTCAAGGGCTTGCGTTTTCGTCGAAAGGGGCTTGATGCTTTCAAGGAATGTGCAAATTGTAAAGGTAAAGTTTAACTGACGTCAACATGATTTGGTTTACAGTTCCTGGATATTTGTGAAAGATGACCCAGATATGTTCTATTTATCTCGTTTTAAAAGACATTACCAGATTTTGTCTTGGCATGAACAACACGGAGAGTGCGACCATTGAAGCAGGAACTTTTGAATTTCCAGTGCATTTGAGTTGGTTACTTGTTTTTAAAGGGGATATTGTTGCTCATGCTTCATTTTATTGTTATGTTTTGTGATTTCATTGTTTGTACTGTTTCTATGTTTTAGGTCTTGTCTATTTTTTGTCCAAAACTTTTCAATTTTTAAGAAATAAGAAATATATTTCGCTCGCACATATCTGCAAATTTTATTGTTTCACATAAAATCCGATTTTAAACAAATTGAATTGATTTGAACTTGCTGATTACTCTTTCGTTCATGTTGAGCACTTTGTGGATAGTTATATTAGCTATTTCGTGTGTTAGTTGTGAAAAGATGTTAACTTTCTAACAGAACTAAACGTATTCAATATGACAAATTAACTCACCGTCTGACTATAGCTTGGTATACTGATGAAACTACTACAACTATAACTGCAACAGCAAACAATGCAGCACCAACAAATATACCTGCCTTTCTTGCTGTGAAAAATTGTTCATAGTCTGTAAACTCACCGGTCCTCCCTTCGAAAATAGTAATTTAGATTTTAATGAAGAAATATACGTTTTTCGTTTGCTCATTCTGATGTTCATTTGAACAAATACATTACTATTTGCAATAATAATATAAAAAAAACTTTATTTATAGAGAGAACATCAGTTAGTACACTACTTATCTCCATTAAAGGACTTTGAATATCTAATAAATACAACTAATCATGCAAGATTATGTAGATTAAGTGTTATGTATCATCATGGGAATACTGTTAGTACTTCCATGGTATCATAAACATGTTCCGTAACCATATCAATCATGGTATCTACCTCCTTGATTATATATATAGGACATAAGGACACATATATGGACTTTTAGAGTATAGATACGTTTCTGTGATAGTTCTTTCATTGTTCTTACTTGTAGTATATGAATCTTAAAATTAGATATTTTGTTCTAAAAACAAGAAATGATGATATGTTTGTTCGAACAATTCTATTGTTTTATCTTTTTCAACACATTAAGAGATATAATGCTTAATTTTAAGAAGGCTAAATGGACGACGATACGATTGAGTCAGAAATAAAATATCATGGTCAAGCAAATGTTTCAATGTACGTGATCACCACAGTGGTGATCACAGGCAAATAAAATAGCAATCGTGCCTTTCGGTTCGCAAATGCACAGGTACTCAATATTGATAATAATATTTCTGAAGTAGACAATGTTTAACCAAAAGAAGCACCTGGTCTCACACTCATTTTGAAGTTCTTACAATTTTGAATCTTTTCACTCCCAAGAATATCCTCTTGTATTTGGTCTAGCAAATGTAAGTGCAACCTGAATATGTTACTCTTTGTCAACATTTTGAAATGTTACTTGCAAAACTATAAAAAAACTGTGCATCTTCTACAGTGTCAATGTGATAAACAGTATGTTGGTGAGTAAGAACAGCCATTTACGTAGGCGTCAAACTGTCCCGAAATCGATACCAGATGGTCATACGAATATGAAATTTTGAATTTCGTGCGAAGTTGACCCTGGATTTGGAAAACAGCCAGTCAACAGCCGAAGCAAGCCTACAGAAGGTCACACGATGGCAACCGAACCACAAACACGAAGGACAAAATAAACACGAGTTCAACAGGAAAATTAACCTTCGCTAGGTCTTTCGACAATTTTTTGGCATGCCGCTACCGCTCACGAAGTTGCTTCCGGAGCCTGAGAAACTAGGAAACTCAACTGACGGTCATATGGTGGCCTTAAGATGCCGCCATTAATGGCCCGATGTTTTTACGATCAGATCCGAATTTGAGTATTTCCTTTATCGTATGTCCATCTTGTGTCAATTTCGCGACAGTGCGACGTAAACATTAACAAACGTGTCAACGGTCATTGTCGTGACTATAAGTATAAGCCAGACATTCAATTCGGTCGACATTTGATATCCCCGTACCACATTAAATTTGGCTGTGTCATACACGGCAGCAACTTCATGAGCGGTAGCAAAAACTTTGGCATGCCTAGCGAAGGTTAATTTCCTGTTGAATTCGTGTGTTTATTTTGCCCTTCGTGTGTGTAGTTCGGTGCCATCGTGTGACCTTCTGTAGTCATCGTACTTGCTTCGGCTGTTGACTGGCAGTTTACCAAATTCGGGGTAATCTTCCCAAGAAATTCAAAATTTCATATTCGTATGACCATCTGGTGCCATTTTCGGGACAGTGTGATGCCTAAATAAGGCAGATCTCAATCGACTGACTATTACCTTCACGGACCACAACAATGATTGGTTTAGGGAGGAGAGAATCACATGGGAAATATTTTGGATAAGAATTTACAAAAACATCTGGATGTGTTGGTTTCATTTGGGATACATTCGCAGCCTCGTCCATTTGTAAAACCTTTAATTTGCGAGAACTTTCAACCTCGTGAATTAAGCGTTGTTCTGTTTTTGATTTGTATTACGGTCAAGATCTTTTTAAGGAAAATTAGCATAGATCTATAAGATTTATAAGATGATACTGATGAAGGATATCTGTTAGCCAAAAATATTTTTTGTTTTTTGAATTTATTTACTTTTTACTTATTTAATTTGATGTTGTACATTTTTTAAAGGTATATGGTAGTTAACATTTTGTATGTTTACAAGGAAGTTATCCGTTAAAGGTTAGCTTTGACGAGGAAGTTACTTTATCCCATGCATGAAAACTTTGTTGCATCAAATTATCTCAAATCCGGGATGATATAATTTATATTTATATATTTTTTCATGTGATGAGATTAAATCGGTTGTAAAGTGCTATGTTATATTGATTGCTATATACGAGGGTAAAATGATTAAAAGTGTTAAATGACACTACAGTAAAGACATTAAGATGCGTTTAAAAAAAAAAGAATTATAATCTCTACCGAACGTTTTCTTTAAACTAGCCCTTAAGAAATACTTAATATATATTTTATGTTTCAGACACCACTATAATGACATGGTCCGTTTTGTATCAATGCATGAATAGCCGACTTTCCTAAGCTTTTGCTCTGACCATTCCTGATATCAGTTATTATGAAAGTGCTAAAATCAGCGTCAATTTACAAGCAAACAAAACATACAACTGAAAATAGTTATTTAAAACGTTTTTCACGTTTGACTATGTTGACCGTTTCCGTAATCCTAACGTATACTTAGCAAGGGCAATCCAGGATTTTTGAAAGGTGGCGTAATTCCAGAAAACCCATTCTTTTTGGACGATTTTATGCTAAAAATTAATATATTTCCAATCAAAGGGGGTGTACGCCCCCCTCCTCCAAGAATTTGCCACTGCTTTGGGACTTCTAAGCTTTGACTTAAATGGGTGGGCAAAACTCGCGATACAAAAGTCAGATAATTTATTTTTGGAACGTGATAGTAAAAATAACCGGGTTCTTATCTAAGTAAGTTACCGTAGTGTCCTTTGAAACTTTGAAAGCAATCTATATGTTTTCAATGTTTTACGAATCTAGTGATGTCATAGGGTTAGATAAGAGTCAATTACCAATCCGCTAATGCGTAATACCTAATCTCTTGATATAACTAGTCTTATCAACATAATGTATAAAAGTAACACGACGGGTGTCACAGGTGGAGTAAGATTTGCTAACCCTTCCGAAGCCCAGAGATTACCCCTGGTTTTTGGTGGGGTTCATGTTGCTCATTTTTTAGTTTTTTCTATGTGTGTGTTTTGTGTACTGTTTTTTGTCTTTTTGCCGTTTTCCGTCTTTTGTCATGGCATTTTCATTTTGTTATCGACTTATGAATTTGAATATTCATACGGAATGTTTTCCACTCTTTAAATATCGAACGAAAAGAAAAAAAAACGAGAAAAAACAACAAAGGTCCCCCTTTTTTTAATTCTTTATAACCGGGATCTTATCTAAGTAAATTGTAATGTTTATCTTACAAAGCAATCTACATAGGCCTATATATATATTTCAAAATCACACGAAAAGGAAAAAATAAAAGTAATTTTTAAAAAACCAAAGCACTCCCTTTTTCAACGGTTTGCCTATACCAAGTCAGGAATATGACAGTTATTTTTCATTCGTTTGATGTGTTTGAGCTTTTTATTTTGCCATTATCATTATGATAAAAGACTTTCCGTATTTGATTTTCCTTGGAGTTCGGTATTTTTGATATTTTACTTTTTAAATGGTATCACCAGCTCTGTAGACAGTGCTTCGGTACTGACATGATTTATAACGTAACTTTCTTAAATTGTCCCTTTATAAATTAAGAAATTATTTAGAAGTCAAGGTTCCAACTCCCTTAGCTAAAATTGACCTTATATGGATTTGGTTATTGTGTTATGTCCCTTTGGGTTATATAGCCCTTTACGTGTATCGGAACTTATACATTATTGACTTTCATATTTTTTCTATTTTCGTGCTGCAAGTATTGCCTTGTTTTGAAGTAGTCCATCGGACTTAGCTGTATGTACACGAAGAAGAACTAACAATGAATAAAAGAAGATGTACACGAAAGTCAATTAACCAACAACTAATAACACTAGCTTACCAAGATAGAAATCTTATAATGTTTGTTATTATCAGAAAAATAAAGAAAGATGGAGAAGGGTCTCAGTTTCTGATTATACCAAGGTACTAGCTAAAATTGAGAATGGAAATGGGAAATGTGTCAAAGAGACAAAGGCCACAAACACAGCGAGAAAATCCGCGGGCTTCAGCTTGTCCCAAAATAAAAATGTGTACTAGTTCAGTGAAATAGCGGTATGAATAAATATTATATGTTTACATTCAAACCCGATTATAACATACATTGCCCTTTCAGAAAGGATAACATGTACAGGTCTGAAAATATTCAAATTCTTAACATGCAAAATATAAAAATCAATGTGAATGACATTGGGTAGATGATGGATAAACTTCTCATTGGGCAGCAAACCAAAGACCAAACACATAGTTATATAGAAAACATCTAAAGGCCTTCAACAATAAACAAGTGGCTGCACACTATGTCAGGTATGTCAAGAACTAAATTACCCAGAATCTAGAAAAGTGGAAAATAAATTGGAAAGTAACTAGTAACAATAAATAAAAATAGAATTAGTATATGTCAATAGTTATCAACACTGTTTTCAATATATGATGGAAAAAAATAACAACAAAATCCATTAAGATATAACTAAAGACATCACGGTTCCTACAGTGGACAGGCATATGAACACATAGTGGAGCTACATTAGTTATGTTTTAGTATATTCAACCCTCCCCTGTTAATCTCTGAACAACGAAAGGTCTACAGAAAACGAAATAATTAAATCAGGTAGGATAACTCAATACTATCGGTGGCGGTACAATAGAATAAACTGTTAACACAGAGATATGTCTCGTTCACCTTTTTGTAATTTTGATAATGCAAATGTTGAAATTAGAATAGCAATACTTTAACATGTAAGTTGTGCAAATATTCGTAGTCGATGAACCATGACTGAAGGTACATGGCTAAACAATCTCCATGGAATGAGATGTGCCAATGCTATTACAACTGCATACCAAATACCATTGACTTATTATAAGTCGTTCCCTTTAAACAAACCTAAACACAAACATTAACTTGTTAACTATAAAAAAGTTTCAAAGTCAATGAACCATGATCAGGGGTGGGGCTATATAATCTCAATGGAAACGATACTTGCAAATGCCAATGAATTTGCATACCAAATATCATTGACTTAACATTAGCAGTTCATCTTAAACTGATCTAATCACAAACTAATACATGTAAACTAAGCAAAAGTTTCAAAGTAAATAGACCATGACTGAGGGGGTGGGGCCAAATATTCTCCATGGAAATGAGATGTGCTAATGCTTATACAACTGAACACTAATTAACATTGGACTACCACTAATGGTTCCCCTTGAACTGACCTAATCACAAACTAATACATGTTAACTTAGCAAAATTTTCAAAGTCTATAGACCATGACTAAGGGGGCGGAGCCAAATAATCTGCATGGAAATGAGATATGCCAATGCTTATACAACTGCATACAAAATATCATTGACCTACCACTAGTGGTTCCCCATAAATTGACCTAATCACAAACTAATACATGTAAACTATGAAAAGTTTCAAAGTAAATAGACGTTGACTGAGGGGGTGGGGCCAAATAATCTCTATGGTAATGAGATGTACCAATGCTAATACAACAGCATACCAAATATCATTGACCTACCACTAGTGGTTCACCATGAACTAGACCTAATCACAAACTAATACATTGTTGTTGCCGCCGCCGCCGGAAACAGCATACCTATGTCTCGGTTTTTGACTCCGTCAAGGCGAGACAAAAATGGCTGAATGAAAAACAGTACTATGTTAAAATACGGAGAAGTGCCAACCATAAATCATATCAAGTCGAATAACAACAGACATCACAATGGTCCAAAACATAATGAAACGACAAATATCATTCAAAACCAAAACACCGAAAACAGAATATTACACTGTTTTTATACTGTGACAGTTACTGAAAGCCAGCACATAGTATTTTAAACATTCTACGTCTGAAATAAGCTAAGGCGTTCTATTTTTACAAAAAGAAAGTAAAAATTCCCATATTCATTTTTTTGTATGTAAAACTTATAAAAAATATGTGAATATGAAATATAAACAACTATTCAGATGTGTTGACTCACTCTATCTTTGTTTCATTTTCAAATGCCGCGTGATATTTATTAAAAAAATATATCATATATGATAATGCATAATAAATGATACATAATACATAAAGTATTGACTAGCTTTTAAAAACTTTTATAATGAAAAAGCATTATTCATGTACGGCCTTATGGCGAACTAGCACAAATGCCATGAATTATCCAATATAGATATTTAAGCAAACAAACATTTTCTTACCCATCATTTAACCTTTACCATCCGCATCACTTTATGTAATTGAGTATAACAATCATGTATATCCGGATGACGGTATTTATACCCCAACAACGGAAACTTTTACACTTCAAATCAGTATCAACAGTGTAACACTTCACTTCACAAATATACACGACATATCCTGTAACTTGTTATATGTGTAGATGCTGGACATCTTTTTGTGTCAAAAGAGTTTATTCGTTTCAATTGTTTGCATCGTTGTTCCTTTTTTTAATTGATAAGAACAGTTTGAATAGATATTTCCTTGTACAGAGTACTGAGACAACGTCTGCACTGTAAATCTAAGTGTTAATAAATAGAACACTGCTTGAACGCTTTTTTTGTAACACTTTTTGAACGTGTAATGGTGTTCAAAATGTTTACACTAGTGTTCATCAATTGAATGTGTGGTGTTCAGTTTTTAATGCCTTTGTGTTTCATTTTTGAACACTTGATGTTAGAGTTCTTAACACTTAGTGTTCAACGATTTAACGTGTCCGAATGTTCAATATCTTAATACGTCGACGCGTTCAACAGCCATGTAACACTTTTTGAACACATAGAACATGTTTAAAGCCAAAGTGTTAAGATTCAGAACACCAGACGTTAACTTTCAGAACAGTTGACATGTGGAACATGTTCTATTTTCAAGCGTACATAATTTTCCATAAGTACTCAAACTTAAATAAACTGTCATAAAAACTATATTCAATCAGGCAAAATATAACAATAAAACATATTTTAACAAGTAATTCTTTATGTAATCAAATGAGCATATTATATGTAAGAAAAGTACACCAGATACCTTATGATATCACAAGTAACAGTCAGTGAAATCACATACATAATGTTTTTAAACTGACTTAAATATATATCACAAATAATGATTTTCCCCTACATGACTAGATAGTTGCAACATCATTTGTATCCTAACCAAAAAAGCATGTCAATGTGATAATTAGATAGTTTATGATAAGGTATTTGTCACAATGAAAGTTTAAAAGTTTGCAAATTCCAACAGTTCTTGTACGATCACATACAATGTACGCTCCACTTTTCAGTGCATCTTCACTTAAAGCTATCAACTGGCTGGCATTTTATGTGTTGTTATCAACTTCCAATGTCAAAATCCTCCTCAACAAGGATTGTCTATGAGCCTATATATCCTGCAAAATAAAATTAAAAATTAATAGAAGAGAGTATTTCATAAAGCATCAAATTATGCAATGCTTGTTATGCTTTAATGTCGATATATACTAGTGTACATATTGATATTCTATAGCAATGAAATGCAAGTTTTGACATTATAAATTACAAAAGTCGATTTCTTGACCTAAGGTGAACAGATAGAAATGATACACCCACATAAGCTATTAATATACATATATTGTCATACCTTTTTTCGACATCTTTCTTTTTTCCACCACTTTATAGCATGTAGAAATGACCTTTTTGGGATTATTGGCTACCGGTTCCTAATTCAAACATTTTAATCTAACGATTCCTGCAAATAAAAAAAACAAATGCATTTTCTAAGTCAAAAATGGTGTTCCAAATGTTTGCACTAGTGTTCATCAATTGAATGTGTGGTGTTCGGTTTTTAATGCCTTTGTGTTTCATTTTTGAACCCTTGATGTTAGAGTTCTTAACACTTAGTGTTCATCAATTGAATGTGTGGTGTTCAGTTTTTAATGCCTTTGTGTTTCATTTTTTAACACTTGATGTTAGAGTTCTTAACACTTAGTGTTCAGCTAATGTATGTGGATGTCGAAAATCATCATTTATTCTGTATAACAGACAGACTGTTTATTCATCAGTTTAGGAAATCATCAGAAAAAAAGCTGACAGTTATTTACGTTTATATCTAAAGCCCGTTTTTTAATTCGTCTTTTATGTTGAATATTGAAAATTTTGATATAACAGTTATGAATATTTGACAAATATATATCTGGCATGAGAAAATAACAAGGAAGCCATCGAACTACCTATGGAGATTATTCTAACTTGTTACTTACTTCTTTCGTGTTCATATGGGATAGAAGTCCCTTCTCCAGTTCTCTTTCTTATGTGTATCCATTCTTCGTTGAACCGCCTAAATCGCCAGCCGATATCTGTTTCCTGTATTTGGTATCCTGGTATATTTTTTTTAACACGAGGTGTTCAAAATTTCGAGCGATTTGAACACTGATTGAACATGTAATGTTAATAAAATGAACGGATCATGAAATAAGATAAACATCGACATATTTTTATTACGATATTATCATAACAGGCCTCATTGATATGCATATAATTATGTCCCTTATAGGTAAAACTAGTATATATAAATAAATAATAAAATAAATTCATAAACTATACATATATGCCAGCTTGGAAGTTTAATATTTCACAATTACTAAAATATTAGCCAAAAATTCACAAGATCATCATCCTGCGTATACATTCATATTTTTTAAAGAATTTCTTTTTGAATTTGCCAATTGGAAGGATAGAAAATCGGACAAAAGACTATCTTCTTTTTTAGATCAGAATTTGAACACCGGTGTTCACTGCGTCTGCACACACATGTTAATATTTTTAACACAAACGTTAAAACTTTGAACACGTCTCTAAGCATGAACATATGACGTTAAAATATTGAACATTCGGTGTACGAATTTTGAACGCGTCCGGACGCGTCAGGCGTCAGGTATATTTACAGTGTGGACGTTGGTGGATAAATGCACAGACGTCATGCAGTGATGCAGTAGTGGAAGGGAAAGCGAGAGATTAACGGAAATGATTGTTATCAGAAACTTCCTTTAAGCGGATACAGGTTTATCTTAAATGGAGAGGATAAGGGACACCAGAAAGTTTAGGGATTTTTGTTATGTAAAAAAAGGTTGTAAAATGCAATTCATAAGTAACTTCTGTTGCGAAAAGGGCCGTCATGATAAATAAGAATAATCTAACTTACAATAGGAATCGTTATTGTAAATGGATCTCACACCATCCCACCCTACATCTTTATTTTCCCTTGCAAAATTGTTTGATGACTAGACCTTTAATTAGACTAACCACTGACTTTGCTATGGCTTACGACTTTAAGGTTGGGCTATTTTTGTTCTTGTAATTATTCTGTCATTTAAATTGAAAGTCCGACAATCAGAGAAAACGATTTTTTTAGAGCAAATAGTAGAAAAAACAAAGAATATGGGGTATCCATCCATGACACAAAATCAGTACATGCAATGCGAAAAAACACACAAACAGCGAAGGTACAGCGTTATCAATTCAAGATATGAAGTAAGTTACTAATGACAACTAATATGGTAAGAATGAGCAGTCTGATAAACAGGACGGCATGTTTTCAAATGGGCAAGATCACCTGCAGTTCTAATGAATTCAAAAGTTTGATTTACCAGCATTTAGGAAGACACAAACACAATATTAATGTTATAAATATCCAACCAATGGAAAACGTCCAAAATAAAACTAGGATATTGACATAAACAATTTGTAGATAGTTTGAAAATTTGTGAACTGTCTTGGATTAAATAGCTACAGACAGCATATTGTTCAAAATCGATAGTTAAAAACTTTCAGAAAAAGGAACAACATATCGTCCCCCATCTAAAATAGAACAGCGTAGTCAGGTCATTAAAGACGGTCTTTCATCATATTGTAAAAATTTGTGTTAACGGGAGAAATATGATAAAAAAAATCTCTTAATTCTTATTTGTACAAATAAGTGAATATTTGGGGTATTCGCATATTTAATTTGAAAACAATTAGAACTTAATAAAAGAGTTATTAATACGCCAATTTTTATTAAACTAGAACAAACTTCTCTTACATTTCGGTTTAGATTTTGCTCATTATTGAGGGCCGTACGGTGACACATAAGTGCTAACTTTAACGTCATTTTTATCTCTGGTGGAAAGTTGTCTCATTTTCGGACGCATGAAATTATTAAACGTGTTGTTTTCAATTTTTGCAATACTACCACGTCTTCTTATCTCTACATTAAGTACACACAAGGCGGTGTGTGTTCGGACTGGCCGACAAAGCAGCCAACAATGTGATGGCGGTATGACGTAAATACTGTAGTAACACGGAAGTTTATAAGAATGAATAACTTAATGTAAATTGAGTGGTAAGGTTCTGAAAAGTGAGTCCACACGGAAGAAAGGCCTATTATTGTTTTTATAACAAATGAAATATTTTATCCTATTTACTAGTTTTAGCAGGTACGTTGTTAAGCGACAATCTCTCACAAATTTTGCTCGTTGTTGAAGGTCGTACGGTGACCTATGTTTGATAACATCTAGACCGTCTTTGGTTTCTGGTGATAGTTGTCTCATTTGCAATCATACTAAATCTCCTTATTTTTATATTTTTTTCTTTACAAAATTTTGGTCATGAGAAACTAAGAAGATAAGCTGAACACTTTCGAGTTTGATTGAATAATTGTTTGTTTTTATCTTATTTACAAGAATGTTGACGGTCGTTTAGGAGACTGTCTAAAATTGTGGCAGACATGTATAAGTACCAGTGTTTCCTAAGCGAAATGTGTAAGAACATATATCTTTATGGACTGGAGCTGTCAGCTTTATTGAAGTAGTTATGACATTAGGCATATGTTCTCAGAAAACTATCAGTTTCCTCAGAGTTGGAGAGTAGATATGGAAACCACAGCTGAATAATTCAGTTTATACAAACAAATCTATGAACCTCTACGTATTTAGCAGTTTCTGAAACATCTGAATAATGTCCATTGTTATGTCCGATTCATTCACTACGAACTGCTTTAGAGTGACCTAATTTTTATATCTTAAATTCTACAATTTCAAAGTAACATGGAGATCTGGTTTTCTCTGTTTGTTGATGTATTGTATCATTATGGTGTTAATAATAAAACCAAATTATCTGCTAAAGTAGATAGAACACGCAATAGTTCTAAAGAATATTCATATGCAACTTTTCTAGGCTGTACACAATGTCCCTTTAGCTGGTTGTCGAGAACGCTTTCCATATTAAATACAATACTGTTTAGTCCATTTATGGTAATATCATTTTGGCGTGGCTCGGTACTTATACATCCCGCCATTGTGTTATTGTGCTATGTTCATTTTTTTGTAGTCTTGTCTTTCATTTTTGCTTATGTGCTTTGTCTATATATCATTTTGTTTTTCTTTGTTGACATATAAGTCAAAATTTAGAACATGACATTGACCTTTGACCTTGACCTCAAATTTATTTTTATGAACCCAGGATCTCAAATACACGTACCTTAGGTCTGTATTACTTACCATTCATGTGATACATTGACATATCACTTATGTCAAATTCAAAAGGGGAAATAACTTTCATATGGAGTCTACGAATTGATTCGGTTAAAATTTGACAAATCATCCTGAGGATATAACGAGCAATTTAGTAAAATAAATTTGTCGCTTTCTTTTACGGTTACGGAGGAGATCTCACCACAAAGAAAACAGTGTTTGGGGAGATAACTCTTACAATAAAAAGTCTTCGACTAAACAGGACCAGTCTCAAAAGCGCAATAACTGTTCGATATCATATGCAAAAAATCTAAGCGACATCTTGCGAAACCACAAAAGAAGTTTTAAAATTTGGCGGAAGAAGAAAACAAATAATCAGAACAAATGCAATAGGTCTTTCCACAAAATAGTGGAAAGACCTAATAAATAAAAATAAAATAATATAAGTGTATGTATGTGTTTCATACCTAATATGTTTTATTACAAGGAAAAATATAGTACAAATAAGTTATTGAGCTATCGAAAAAATCTGTTTGAAGATTGAATATATCGAAACACACACTCAAACAGCTCTAAATATTAGTATCATTAGACAAATCGTCACTACTTTATATTAAAATTTTGCTTAGATAGTTGGGACATAGATCCCGCAACATTGCTATATTTATATCTGGACAAATCAAATTCTTAATACCAAGTAGAAGAGTAATCCGGTAGTTCATGTAATGGACGCAATGAATTAAATAGTGCTCAGTGCTTTCAATACGGTTACCTGGGCAGAAATCGCAAAACCTATTTAATGTAAGATTATATTTGTAAAAGTGGTCATTAAGGGCACTAAGCCCTAAGCGTAATCTAGTATAAATCTTTTTCTCATAACCATGCCCTCGTGAATATATTTTTTTACTACACAAATTGAGATTCTTCTTTAACAACCTTTTGAAACTCGCCAAAGAAGTTGCTGAAATTAGTTCAGCTGATAAGCTATTACAGTCTCTAATTGTAGCTAGAAGAAAAGAATTATAGTATGCTACTGTTCTTGACCTGATAGGTATCAAGTTGTCATGTCGTCTTAAGTTATAGTTTTCGGTGTTATGATGGAATAATGGATGAAAATTACAGAGATAATCTGGGACAAGATGATTTTTAATGTTGTACAGGTATTGTAAGTCTATGAACTTTACGGCATGTTTTAAGAAGCTCAAGGCCAACCTCTTTCAATAAAGTGACATGTTTTGTGACCCTGATTGCCCCAGTAGATAGAATGCAGGCACGTCTCTGTACATGAGCGCTCAACCCGGCCTCCCATAACCTGGGACAGTAGTGTTACAGCACAACATAAAAACAAACTATAAAAATCAGTTGAGAAGGGCTTAACTCATCAGGTCGATACAAAGCAGAAAAACATCTAACAATAAAAGGAAGAATATGTCTGAGGACACGAATGCCCCCGCTCAAGTTTATCAATTTTCCAAGTTAAAAAGGGGCATTACTCTAGAACGGTAAATGACTCGTTGCCCAAATTCGGACTCTGTCTGCGTTTTTGTAGTTTTAAGCATTGTGTATGAGCTTCATAAAATTTGTGTGAGGCAAAGTTAAGTTAGAGTGCGGAAACGAAAAAAAATACAGTTTTCCAAGTTACAAAGGGCATGACTCTAGAATGGTAAGTGACTCGCTTTCCAAATTCAAACTCCGTATGATGGAGCCAAAGGAACATCGCCGTCTAAAAAGGGAAAATTAACAATAGGGAATGAAAAATCGTCTCTTTTGTCGTCAATTTTAGTATGGAGTTTCCGTTTAAAAAATAAGATGTCTAAATCTAGAAAAGGACAACTACTGCTGTTTATGTTAGATTCATTTAAAGTAAGTTCCTTTGGGTAAATTTCGGTAGTATATTTAGAGAACTCTGGATTATTTAACGAAAAAATATCATCAAGATAACGGTAGGTATTGTTGAATGTATCAACCAAATGTAACTTTACTGAGTTTGGTCATAAACTGAGATTCATAGCAATAC